CAGCGGCTCCACCTCTTTTCCTTTGCCTTTGAGCCGCTTAATTCCCAGCAAGCAATTAGCAGGCTCGCTCCACCTCCTCCTCCTCCCGGCTTTGCTGCTGCTGCTGCGAGGCTCTTTTCCTCCACCGACGGCGCGCTGCGCCTTGGAGAGGTTCCCGCTTCCTCGAGGGGGCCGGCCAAACGCGCCCCCAAAAATGTTGCGCCCGGTGCGGCCGGCACCCCTGGCACCCCCCACGCTACGCCACTGTTGATACCTAAGCTGGAATCTGAAAAGACTCAACTTAAGAACTACCGTCCCATCTCACTCCTAAATGTGGATTACAAAATATTTGCAGACATTTTGGCAAGCAGACTTAAAAAGGTACTTAATGAAGTAATTCATAAAGACCAAGCAGGCTTTCTCCCTGGTAGACATATGTGTGATAACACCAGGAATATTATTGACATTTTGGAGCTTTTGCAAATTAAGAGGAATACAAGGGCGGTGTTAATTTTCATTGATGCAGAGAAAGCATTTGACAACATTTCCTGGATGTTTATGAAGAAAAATTTGGAAGGGATGTGAGTGGGACGGGGGTTTGAAAATGGAATAGAAGCAATTTACTCAGAGCAAAAAGCTAAACTGATAGTGAACAATGTGGTGACGGAGGAATTTAAAATTGAAAAAGGGACACGACAGGGGTGCCCTCTATCTCCTCTTTTATTTATTTCGGTCCTGGAGGTGTTGCTGAACATGATTAGGGAGGACCGGCAGGTACAAGGAGTAGAGGTCGGAGTGAAACAATACAAACTGAAAGCTTTTGCAGATGACCTAGTTTTAACATTACAGGAGCCAGAATCTAGTACAAAAAGAGTTTTAGAACTTATTTCTGAGTTTGGTCGGGTGGCGGGATTTAAGCTGAACAAGCAGAAAACTAAGGTTTTGGCTAAAAATTTGACACCTACAGAAACAGATGGGTACCAGAAAGAAACAGAATTAAGTGTGGTTAAAAAAGTGAAATACTTAGGGGTATATTTGTCTTCTAAAAACTTGAATTTATTTAAAGACAATTATGAAAAATGTTGGACGGAAATCAAAAAGGATTTGGAAATTTGGTCAAGATTGAAACTCACCTTGTCGGGCCGAATCGCAGCTATAAAGATGAATGTATTGCCGAAAATGTTATTTTTGTTCCAAACCCTACAGATCGTGGACAGAGTGGAATGTTTTGGAAATTGGCAGAAGGATATATCTAGGTTTGTCTGGCAGGGCAAAAAGCCCCGAATAAAATTTAAAATATTAACTGACTTGAAAGAAAGAGGGGGGTTTGCCCTGCCGGACTTGAGGTTGTACTATGAAGCTGCAGCCTTCTGCTGGTTGAAAGATTGGTTCCTGCTGGAAAACACTGATGTCCTGGATCTGGAAGGGTTTGACAATATCTTTGGTTGGCATGCATATTTGTGGTACGACAAGGTGAAAGCGCACAAATTGTTTAAAAACCATATTGTCAGAAAAGCAATTTTTGCCGTCTGGATGAAATACAAAGACCTATTAGAAGGTAAGACCCCGAGGTGGCTATCACCGATGGAGGCCAAGGCTCGAAAAAGACCCAATATGGAGGCCCATTGGCCAAAATATTGGGAAATAATTGAAAGAACTGGAGATAATTGGAAGTTGCAGAGCCAGGAAAAATTAAAAAGTAAGGTGCGAGATTGGTTACACTATGCTCAAATTCAAGAGGTCTTTAAAATGGATAAAAAAGTTGGTTTCCAGGTGGAAAAATCGAAATTGGAGACGGAACTGTTAGAACCAAAGACTAAGGTACTTTCGAGAATGTATAACTTGTTGCTTAAATGGAACACACAGGATGAGATAGTTAAATCTGCCATGATAAAATGGGCACAGGATGTCGGACATAACATTATGTCAGAAGACTGGGAAAGGTTATGGAACACCGGAATGAAGTTCACGGCATGTAGTGCCTTGAAAGAAAACATTATGAAAATGGTATACCAGTGGTACATGACCCCAGTCAAGTTAGCTAAGATATATCACCTGTCTGATAATAAATGTTGGAAATGTCAAGAGGCAGAAGGGACATTCTTTCACCTCTGGTGGACCTGCCCAAAAGTGAAGGCCTTCTGGGAAATGATTTATAATGAACTTAAAAAGGTATTTAGATATACCTTTCCTAAGAAACCGGAGGCCTTCCTTCTGGGCATGGTGGACCGGAAGGTGTCAAAAAAGGATAGAACCTTGTTTATGTATGCAACTACAGCAGCAAGAATTCTCATCGCAAAGCACTGGAAGACACAAGATTTACCCACACTGGAGGAATGGCAGACGCAGTTGATGGACTATATGGAACTGGCTGAAATGACTGGCAGAATCCGAGATCTGGACGAGGAAATAATAGAGGAGGACTGGAAAAAATGTAAAGACTATTTGCAAAAACATTATAAACTGTATGAATGTTAAGAAGGTGCACGATTAGGAAATGTTATGCTTTAGCAATTTGATTAAGTAAATGGTAAAGTAAGTGATAACAAAAAAAAAAAGAGGAGACAAATGTGAAACAAATATATTATGTTTATTTTAAAGGTACTTAAACTGGGTTATAACATTCTGAATTTGGAAACATAATAATTGAAAGTTACAGTAAGTTGCGAAATAAGGTAACAAATTGCTGACACTGTTATTGCAAAGAACGCAAGGCTTGGAAGATGTGAGGAGGTCCAACTGACAGTGATAAATTATGGAAAGATGATTTGACACATATCCATTCTTTTTAATTTTCTTTTATCTTTATAATTTGTTTCTTGTTTTTTACTCTTGTATGCTTTTGAACTTGTGAACCTATGGAAAGAAACACAATAAAAAAATATAAATAAATAAATAAATAAATAAATAAATAAATAAAGGTTTCTATATATAAAGCCCTGAACAACTGGGGTCCAGCTGCATCTAATGCAGTGTTAAGTAACTGTCATGTCAACTTGAGCAATGGGACTTTTCCCTCCCACTAAGTCTGTTCTGCATTCCCCCCTAACCTGCCAGAGCACAAGCCAGGCAGATTCCTTCAGGTAAAGTAACCATATTTTTTTCAATGAATCCGGGGACACTTTAAATAAATAAATAAATACTACACGTTTGGGATGTTGATGCTGCAGTGATGGCGGTGGCAGAGGGGCAGCCGCCACCTTGACCTCAACCACCACGTTTCCCCTTCCTCCGAGGCTTCTATCTCCTTTCTCCATGAGCCTGCGCAGCCCCTGAGTTGTTGGTTCTTTGGTGGTGGTGGGGAAGCGGTGTGGTAGGTCAGGCGTGGAAGGTGGAGAAGGAGGTCCAAGAGCGGCAGCAAGGCTCAGCAGCCCAATGCCTCCCTTCCCATCAGAGCAGCCCCAATCCCATTCCTACCTGCGTGCAAGCAGGAGGGGGTGGGGATCCCTCAGCTGGGAAGGGAGGCTTCCCCTTTCCTGAGAGATCCCTGCCCCTTCCTGCTTGCACGCAAGCTCTGATAGACAGCGTGAAGCCTCCCTTCACAGCTAAGATCCCCGCCCCACTCCTGCTTGCACACAAGTAGGATTTGGGAGGCTGCTCCGATAGGCAGCATGAAGCCTCCCTTCCCAGCTTAGTTGCTGGGTTCAGGGAAGGTGGAGGCAGCCCGGAAGCTGCATCTTAGAGCCCCTGCACCACCATCATATGGGGACTTCTGAGCAGCTCCTGAAGCCAGCCAGAGCCAACTGCTCCGGGCTGCTGAGACTGCCGCTGCTGCATTTCCCAGGGACATTTGATGAAATCCAGGGACATTCTGGGGATGGAATTTGTCCGAGGACTTATTCGCAAATCTGGGGACTGTCCCCAGGAAACGGGGACGTCTGGTGACCCTACCTTAAGGGCCAGCTGAGCTCATACATCCCAGCTAAGTCACTGAAATCAGTGCTATCATTCCGCCCGCCACCCCCCGTGACTCAGAAGCTCAACTGGCTTCAACTAAAAGTAGAGCATTTAGTGTCCCTGTATTGCAGAGTGTTGGACTAGACAACCCCTGGGATCCCTTCCAACTCCACAATTCTTTGGTTCTATGGTCCCATGTTGTGGAATACTCTTCCAGCAGAGATTCTGCAGGCCATCTTAGCTGCTAGCTTTCAGGCATCTCTTAAAGATTTTTATGCCAAAAGAGCAAATTATTAAGTTGTTTAAACTTTTTCAAGAAGAATCAGTCATTTTTATAATTATTTTCTAGTTTTTACGGTATTTGATGTTTGGTTGTATTTGATATTTTATATGAAGGTGTGGTCTTTAAATATTTGTATAAATAAATAAGTACATTATTAATCTCCTTTTTGTCCCTTAGCACGCTTTTGTCATCCAAAGGTCCAGCTAGTTTCCTGCTTCTAATTTATCTAAAGTTTTTTGTTTTGTTTTTTTGTTTTACTGTTGATCTTAATATTTTTAGCGTTGTGCTTCTCAGATTTTTGTCCTTGTTCCTGTTGCATCTCTTATTGTCTGCAATTACCTGCAGTTCTTTTGTTCTCATTTGGACAAGACTTCCGTTTTCCTAAAGGAAGCTTTGTTGCCTCTAATGGCATCCTTTCGTGTTCTTTCACCGCGTGGAGGCACCTCCCATCTTAGACCCAAAACTGAAGGTTTAGATAGGACTAGGTATATCGGAAGGGGAAATGATTAGATAGTGTTGAATGTAACTTGTTCCCTGCTCCGCAAAGGCTGCCAAGCCATTGCCTTCTGTAAGTCAACATAAGCCGTGTAGTTAAGCAGGGCATATGGGGATCCTGTTTGAAAAGGAAGCTTACTTGGAAGACTAACTTGTGGGTCCTGAATTGCAAATCACTGGTACTGTTCATTGAACAATGCTTGACATTCAAGTGAGCAATGAAATATTGCCTAGTCAACTTAACTTACCAGCCTTGCATTATCTGACTCATGCCAATTGTTCTGTGTGATGTGCAATATGATTACTGTAGCCCCCCACAAACAACAACAACAACAACAACAACATATACTCTTTGGTAAGATTTCATTGCAGCAAAGAGTGTATTCCAATAAGGTAAATATCCAGAAACACACAATATATTTTTACCAGACAAACAGAGCCAATAGAAATTAAAATGCATTGGAAGACTACAGAAGTGGAATAAAAAAGAGGTGCTCTTGTTGGAGAAAATCAGTTAGACACAGAAGATGGCACATCAGGACGTCGAGTTTGAACAATTTTGGGCTTGGGTGAATTGTTTGGGTCTCCCTCTTCTGCTGCACCCGTGTCACAGACATGCGCCACGACATTTGGGGTGGACTCTGTACCTGCGTGCAGCTCGTATTTCTCACCTGCAAGCAAAGACAAACATTTAGACTAAATGCTATTTAGCATCATAGAGCCCCACTAGAATACATTACTGCTCAACTGGACGGTCAAGAGGGGCATCACGGTTACAGTGTTGGAATAAGACCTAGCAGACCAGGGTTCAAATCCCCACTGAGCCATGGAGCTCATTGCGGGACCTTGGCCCAGTCGCTGCCTCTCAGCCTAACCCACCTCACAGCGTTGTTGTGGGAATTAAATGAGGAGGGTGAGAATCAAAGGAAAAGGTAGGATATAAATGCAAAAATGGCATGAATGGATTTTGGACATTGACTCAAGACCTTCATGATGCCACTATTGTTTAAGTATCCCATTTGGGACACAAACTGTAATTGAACATGCTGTTGCCTAACCTCTCCCCAGGGGGCAGTGTGTGATTGTTTAGTTTGTGGAGGAGCATTTTGCACAAATGCACTTACCATATTTGGCTGTAAACTGGCAACCAGTTCAAGTGGCCTTTGTGCTGTTCCATGTACATGCGTTTTCTCCTTCACTGTAAAAGTCTTTAGAAGAGAGAGCGCGCTTGGGCAATACGAGAGATGCCTGCTCTGTGTACCTGCTGCGCAATACTAGGTTGCCCTTTGTACTTTATAGTATGACTTTCTGCACAAGCAGAGATCATTCCCAAACAGAAACAGAAAGAGGCAGCTCTCAGTGTAGCAGATGGGAGGAAACTTGATTAGCAAGCTTTGCCGACAGTGTCTATAAATCTATCTTCCTGATGAGTTTTATCACAGTGCCTATATTAAATTTGAAATTTAAGAATATCTTGGGATTCCTATCTACTAATTCATGTGTAATAAAACATTAATGGGCTTGTTGACAGGATAAAATACAAAGGGAGAAATTACAAGTGCTTATTTGCCTTCAGGCATCAGTTGATTTGAGATGGCTGTTGGTCAGCTCCAAGGCCTTGGTGGTCATTGCCTGCTGCTCTGCAACAAAGGTCCACACACGCACAGCAAATTGTTTGAGTCTGTCGACATAGTTGTCTACCCCCAAGTTACAGTACCTTTATACTGAGATTCATTTTGTTTAAATAGTTGCAATCCTAACCCTATTTACCTGGCAGAAAGCCCCACTGAATTCAACAGGACTTAACTTCTAAATAGACATGGTTAGGATTGCTCTGCAAGTTAGTTCATTACTTGGCCATCACATCCTCTTAGTTGTTAATTAAGCGCACAAACACCTATGTATTTGAGGATATGTCATAGAATACAGTAGATGGGAAGAAAGGTGGCCAGATGTTTCTTAGCAGAAAGAACTGTGCCCTCCTCCAGAACACAACAGCCCATCTCCTCAACTTCTCCAGTGGTCATTCAGACAGCAGCCATGAGCTGATCTTATGCATAGATCACTGGGCTGCTTGCTGAAGGTGTTTAGCATGGTTGCATTGCTCCATTTATTTGTGTGGGTGCATGGAAGGATTCCAGAAGAGGCACAGCTAATCATAAAAGATCCTGCTGGTGGTTCTAGTCACAATCGTGCCATGCAACAGAGTACAGAACATGGTGCCTCAAAACCTGAGCTTTTGGGGGTTTTTAAGCCACCTTTCTAGTTGTCCTTGGTTGTGAAAAAATGTGGATATAGGTAGAAATGCTATAGATCTCAGACCAAGTCGAGGTCTCATGGAGAAATACGGTCAGTGGTTACTTCTCTTGAAAACTGCAGCATGCAACCATACATCACGTTTTTCATTTAGATAAGAAAAACTCATGAAATGCAGGTATTAAGTTCTGTGATGCTGTACATGTTTCAGTTTCAGAACTACTCTCAGAACAAGAAGTAGGAAAACTCATGTCCTTGAAGCACACAGAAAATGTCCTCAAGCTGAAACTGAAGCTATCCATATAGATTTATTACAATACCTACCCAAGATTTGCACACAAGTGATTAAAAAGAGAACTTTGGTGAACTTAACGATAGATAGAATTTAGGTATTCATGTCTCTATTGGCTCAGTTCATCTTCTCTTCTTAAACTCAAATACCTGAAATTTCAGAATACCTACCTGATTCCCGTTTAGAAACTGCATAAAGGAGGTCATAGTTAGCAGCAGGTGTTGCATCATTCATTGGGTGCCAACCTACAGGAGGAGAGGCTGGAGGAGGGATAAGAAACTGCTTTGGTGGCTGGGGTGGAGCCAAATGCAGTTTGTCCCCTTCGATCTCAGAACTCCGGACCTTTACATGGATGAAAGAAAGAGTCTCACTAAAGAAGAGAAGGCAGCGCTTTGGCAATAAGTGCTAGCAATGCAGTATATACTGCCATTTTCAGAATATCATTGATACTGAATTTTGCTGGGCTGCTACCAACTGAGTTTGTTGGCACCCAATGACCATTACGTGGAGCCACTTTTCAGAAGTTCATTGCATAAAATGTGGGGGGGGGGGAGGAATGGAAACCCCACATTTTGTGATAAGTCTCTCTGGAAGCTGAGAAATGTAGTAGTGAGATGTTGTCCAGTTTGTCCCACTGTCCTTTTTTACTTCTTTCTACATGTCTGATCCCTTCCAGCCATCTCCCTTATCTGCCCATCATTTCCCCCTGTCTCTGTCCTGAATGCAAACAGAAGCCTAGGATTTTCCTTGGTTATCCTATACTCCAGTTATGGCAGCTGGAAGGTATTGGATCAAGATTAAGTCCTACTGTGGTCTTGAAGATACACTGACATATGATTCTAGTTAAGTCAACATAACATTATACAAGAGTAATTTCATAATAATAAATGATAAAATAATTCACTTATTCTTTCTTTCCCTCCCTCTTCAGCCAATATGCCCATGAACCGTTTACAACGTGAAAAATAAAACAGTACAATATAAACATAGAAATGTAAAGCACAATAATGAACATTGACTGAAAGCAGTACGATCCAACACATTGCGCTCCCTTGGTGCACTTTTGGTGCACTCCCTGCACCAAAACGGTTCTCCACCAGAGATGAATCATGGTTAAAAAGATTTCTGTTATGGTTGGTATCTGAAGAGATGGGAAATAGGTGGTAGACTTCTAGCAGTCACTGGGTTGTGTGTTTAACTATAAGTTTAACCATCACCCCCAGTTGTGTCAAGGTTTCTGTGTATTAAATGTTCATTTAATAAATATTTTTCAAGGCTCTGGAGGTGAAATATTTATTAAAAGATAGGTGTGCATGCTTGAATCTACTACAGAGAAAATTAAACCTTCTTAACCTTAGTGGGGATTAAAGGGATTTTTAAAATCCTTTCTTTAAATAAGAATTACTTGTAAGATCTTGAAGACATTTATGTAATAGTGCGCTTTATTTACCTCAGTTATACAGCTACATTATGTGTAAATCTTATGTAGAGAGTTTCTACATCATGAGCTGCAATGACTATACTCCTGCACCCTTACTACTTACACTCTTGAACTCTTCAAAATACTTGGAATGTAATGAAAAACATTATGATTAACATGGATACCAGTTAATTTACAACATAAGCAAAAATATGTACCTCATCACTCTTGGCTGTTATTGTTGATGCTGTTTTTCTATGGAACAAAATCTGAATAAGGTGCATATGAAAAAGCAGCTTCATATTGTTCTAAGACTTCATTTCTGCAAGTCAAAATTTATTAAAACACCAGTAGAATATTCTAGGTATGATTCAATATGCTTGTGCTAAACATTCCATTCAGCACCCCAAGCAAGCACCCAGCAACGCTGTGCATTGCACTTTCACAGGAAACCTGCAAGTTTCAGTTGTTCAAAGGTGAATACAGAGAGCAATCTTATACATGCATGCCAAGTTCAATGGAGCGCAATCTTAAGGATGCAACCCAAAACATGCCTACTCAGAACTAAGGCCTACTGAATCCAACAGGGCCCGCTGCTGGGTAAGTGAGTGTAGCCAATTCCTTGACCTGATTATGTGTGGTCTCACATGTTCATATTCAAATTGGTTGTCAGGGGTAGAATGTGAAAGAATAAGGTTGCATGTGCGCGCACACACCCACACCATGACCCTCACAGATTATATGAGACTCTGTTGCCGATCTACTATTGCGCAGCATGAAACAAACGTAGCTAAAACATATGAGCTCATCCACAGACTACATACTAGCTCAAAAAAACATGTAACATAAACAATATGTAGTGTATTATCAAGGGACTAAATATTTGTAAAGTCTTTACACAGGTTAAGTACACTAGGAAGGCTGGAATTAGTTCTTTGCTATATGAGAAGCTGCAGCACCATGCCAGATGTCTTGAAACTCAACCATTATCTACTGAGAAACCATGTTTTGCTGGTGAGAGGAACATAGACCACTCAACCAAATAATGCACTGATTGTCTTGGTCCAAACTACCCAGCTTTGGGTGGTGGCATTTTTGTTTTGTTTTGTTTTGTTTTGCTTTGCATCTTAGCAAACCTACCCTCTCATGCTTTTTATCCAAATTTATTGCACATTCATTCTCATTAGTTTGTGGAGTGGTTAGGAATTTTTGCTTCAAGCGAGTATTAATCCTTGCTTCCCAGTGCATCCTTCCATCATTTTCCTTATAGAGTTTGCTTCACAAGAGCTCCAAATCAACTTTAATTGCACAGCCTGAAGCAGGGGTGGACTGTACCCTGTGCCAGGCCAAAGTTTGGTGCCCCCAAATGGATCTTCTCAATTTTGTGGTCCCCTCATCTTAGTGCTCTGTGCGGGGGAACGCCCTGCATCTCCCGAAATCCAACACTGTCTGAATTTCCCAGTGTGTGGCCAAATCCCACTTGGAAAGAGCAACACCCTGGAAGGGCCCAAGCTTCTTTCCTTCCTACTCCAACCTTGTCTCTTTTCCTTTTGTGTTATGTCTCTTAGATTGTGAGCCTGAGGGCAGGGGCTGTCTTCTCAGTGATATTTATGAGCTGCTCTGGGAGCCTTTTCCTACAGTACAGTGGGATGAAAAAGCATTGCTCGGCCCAGACACAGAGGTCCAGCTCTGAGGGCCTGCTGGCAGTTCCCTCACTGCACGAACCAGGCAGAGAGCCTTCTTGGCATTGGCACTCTCCCCGTGGAACACCCTCCCGTTAGATGTAAAGGAAATAACTGTATGACTTTTAGAAGACACCTGAAGGAAGCCCTGTATAGGGAAGCTTTTTAATGTTTGATGTTTTACTGTGTTTAAAATATTTTGTTGGGAGTGGCCCAAAGTGGCTTGAACGTACTGTTTAGCCCTGCAGATTACCCCACTGTTATTATCATTATTGCATTATTCTTATTTGCAACAGATACAACTGAACAGAATTCAACATATGATATATACATGTGAAACATGTTCATCCTGGAGACTGTCAGCTGCATCCCATCGCTGACAGAGGGAGAGACAGGAGGAGGTAATTAGGCAGGAATGCAGAATGAGAGAGGAGCAGCCTAGTTGCAGTAGAAGCCTGAGCTCCAAGAACATGGAGAAGGAAGGGGGGAGTTCAAGGGGGAAGACACAGACTGACAGTTTAAGCTCTGACTCAGAGGGAGGGCCATCGGAAATACCGTATTTTTCGCCCTATAGGACGCACCATCCCATAAGGCGCACCTAGTTTTTTGGGGGGGAAATAAAGGGGGGGAAATTATTTTTCCCCCAGGTGCGGGGCTGGGGCGGGGGAAGCTCGAGCTTCCCCCAACCCCAGCCCCCAAACAGGCAGCTCTCTGCAAGCCCTCCCGCTGCTTGCTGAGAGGTGCGCGAAGCCTGGACGCGCTGAGCTGAGGGCAGGCAGGCTTCGGCATGCAGGCAACTCTCCGCAAGCAGCGGGAGCCCAGCGTTGGGCTCCCACTGCTTGCGGAGAGATGTGCGAAGCCTGGAGAGCGAGGGGTCGGTGAGCATTCGCCCCATAGGACGCACACACATTTCCCCTTCATTTTTGGAGGGGAAAAAGTGCGTCCTATAGGGCGAAAAATACGGTAGCCCATCCCATGACGCGCAGGCAAGCAAGAATTAATGAGAGGTGTGAACAGAAAAGGAAGCAAAAGTGGGGCTTTAAATGGGGGGAGAGGAAGGGGCAGAACTCAGACCCGGCAGCAGCTAATTTGGAAGCAGACGCTGAGTGACTGAGCTCCAGAGTGATTTGTGTGTTTTGAGCAATAAACCTGAGTTCATTGCTGCCGGAGTTGTCTCGCTTCTGTAGGAGAGACCCAACCATTACAGAGACATTGCAAAGTATAGTTTTAACTTCTTCCCTTAGAACAGTGTTTCATGAAGTTCTGTTCTGGCACGGACAGCTGATTTGGGGTTCTTAAAGAAAAATTCATGAAACAAGAAAAAATGTGATGAAGATGTTATACAGATGGTACCTAACCCCAGCCAAACTGGCCAAGATGTATAAGAACAGTTCAGAGGTTTGTTGGAGGTGTAAAAATGGGGCAGGAACATTTATGCACATGTCATAGAAGTCATAGAATCATAGAGTTGGAAGAGACCACAAGGGCCATCGAGTCCAACCCCCTGCCAAGCAGGAAACACCATCAGAGCACTCCTGACACATGGTTGTCAAGCCTCTGCTTAAAGACCTCCAAAGAAGACGACTCCACCACACTCCTTGGCAGCAAATTCCACTGTCGAACAGCTCTTACTGTCAGGAAGTTCTTCCTAATGTTTAGGTGGAATCTTCTTTCTTGTAGTTTGGATCCATTGCTCTGTGTCCGCTTCTCTGGAGCAGCAGAAAACAACCTTTCTCCCTCCTCTATGTGACATCCTTTTATATATTTGAACATGGCTATCATAACACCCCTTAACCTCCTCTTTTCCAGGCTAAACATGCCCAGCTCCATTAGCCGTTCCTCATAAGGCATCATTTCCAGGCCTTTGACCATTTTGGTTGCCCTCCTCTGGACACGTTCCAGTTTGTCAGTGTCCTTCTTGAACTGTGGTGCCCAGAACTGGACACAGTACTCCAGGTGAGGTCTGACCAGAGCAGAATACAGTGGCACTATTACTTCCCTTGATCTAGATGCTATACTCCTATTGATGCAGCCCAGAATTGCATTGGCTTTTTTAGCTGCCGTGTCACACTGTTGGCTCATGTCAAGTTTGTGGTCAACCAAGACTCCTAGATCCTTTTCACATGTACTGCTCTCAAGCCAGGTGTCACCCATCTTGTATTTGTGCCTCTCATTTTTTTTGCCCAAGTGCAATACTTGACATTTCTCCCTGTTAAAGTTCATCTTGTTTGTTTTGGCCCAGTTCTCTAATCTGTCAAGGTCGTTTTGAAGTGTGATCCTGTCGTCTGGGGTGTTAGCCACCCCTCCCAGTTTGGTGTCATCTGCAAATTTGATCAGGATGCCCTTGAGTCCATCATCCAAGTCGTTGAGAAAGATGTTGAATAAGACCGGGCCCAAGACAGAACCCTGTGGCACCCCACTAGTCACTCTTCTCCACTCTTCTTCGAGAGTGTCGAGATTTGTTAGAAGACAGCAACATGGCTCCAACCCTCCAACGTCCAGCCCTTTAGAGTACTGGAAGAGATCCCTAATAATTATTTACTTGGACTCCTCAGTGTCTTCATTGGAGCAACAAATGGAGCAGGTGAACACATTCACTGGTTGGCCTCTGTTATTTTCTCCCACTGACAGGGAACCCACATAAGGACTCTCTCCGGACTCTAGGATACCCCATATGGGAAAAGGAGCAGTTTTTTCTTCTAACAAAGTGCACGTTCATAAGCAAAATACCCCAAATCTCTCATGGGTGGCTGGGGGCTTGGACACGCATGTGGGTTCAGACACATACTGTAACAGTACTAAAAGCAATAATTATTACTTGATGGGTCTTTTTATTGCATTTTTATGTGGTTGCACATCTCCCCAGATGCACAAACTTGTTTGCATTTTTGTATTTACTGCTCCAGTAAGCTTTATATGATAAGAGTTTCCATGTCCCAGCAGGGCTAATTGTGGTATAAACAGAACAAAAGATTAGGGTATTGATCAGATCAGATCAGATCAGATCAATTAAATTTTCCATAGTTTCTTGTGCAGTCATGTATTGCCTTTACAGAGGTCACAAGCTCTTTTGCCCCACACATTGCAAAGAAAATTAAACCTTGCTATGGGAGCTAAAATTCGGAATAAACATATCAAACTAAAAACAAAGCAAGCCTTCAACTACAGGCACGTTAATTGTAGTGCCATTTATATTAATGGGTGGAGGCCCTCAAGACAATGCAGACATTACATTAGAAGAAAGGATGGCCAAAATGCAAGTGGCTCATTCTGATTTCCTACCTCAGGCATATTATTATTATTATTATTATTATTATTATTATTATGAAGAAGAAGAAGAAGAAGAAGAGTGATACTGTAGTTTCTAAATGGTGAAGACACTTCCACTCTGGCTGGATACAAGATTTGGAAACAGGGAAGCAGAGTCAGGCCTGTTTATTTTGAAAAATGGAGCCTTCGTGGAAAGCAATCTATTGCCTGCATTGTGCTTCTTCATTTATTTATTTATCTTATTTATTGTATTTATTGTATTATTTATTTCATAACATTTATACATTGCTTGATTGTAGAGGACCTCAAAGCAGTTTACAAAAGATAAAATAGTAAAATCAAGAAATATTCACAAACATAATTTAAAACATACAAAAGTTAAAATATTAAAACTGATTAAAATTACCTCAATTTCCTAAGCATCTGAGTAGGCTTGTCTAAAGAAGAATGTCTAAAGAAGAAGCAGGTACCAAAAGGAGGGCAGGGAATACGCCTGCGTGATGTCAGAGGCAGGGAGTTCCAGCCTAGCTGCTGCCTCACGAAATGATTGAGTTTTTACAAATGTGGAATGGGGATTATGTATCACCTGCAGTAGCGCCAATTCTGCCGACTGAAGCAGTAAAATGGACACAATGTAAAATGGAGGCAATCCCACAACCAAAGAATTACAGAGCACCAAAGAACCTGGGCAAACTTGCAGAGCCAGGTCTCATCCCTCTTTTTGCACTCTGCTTGTCCACCCCAAAGGAAGCCCAAAGCAACATACAGAAACAGATGCTCTAGCAAAAGGCAAATGCTATGAAACAATAACCAATGCAGTTAATGATCAATACAAATGCCAAAAAACAATCAGTAAGTAACAGGGGGGGAATAAAATAACCCTGCTCCAGCAGTCCATGAACAAAACCATTTGGCTGTAAAGTAAAATTAGACACATCTACCTGAGAGACAGCTGAAGCCAAGGGAAGAGCAAGCCACAACCAACTAATGCAGTAAAAAACCGCGATACGGTGGACCACCACAAAACAAAGCTTTCTAATGTCAAACTTGCCTTCTCATCACAGTTTAATACATTGTCAAAAAACACCTGGAGGCAGCCCACCCACTCTCATGTCCGACAGATGTGCCTCTGTGAGGGGTTGTGTCTGCATAGCACAGTCTGGAGCAGGCTCAGGAGGGGCCAGCGACACAGGTGCTCCAGGCTGTGGGGGAAGCCATTGGCCAGGCTGGATGTCCCAGGCAAAAGGAGAGAGAAGGGGGGGAGAGAAAATGGAACGGATGTGTGGATGTGAGTGTGGAGGGGGGGGGATGGAGGGGGGGATGCCATCCAATGCTTCAGCCCATATTGTTTTAGAGGGGAAAAGAAAGAAACAGTGTGAGGCAGTCATTTTAAGGTATGTGTTTGTGTGTTACTGAGACACTTAGCTTGAACTCTGCACATGCCCTGGAACAGGGGCAACCAATGTGCCTCCTTCCAGATGTTGTTGGACAATTCCCATCGTCCTTGACCATTGGTCATTTTGGCTGGGGTTGATGGGAGTGGGGGTCCTGCAGCACCTGGAGGGGCCCACACTGACTCACCCTGCCTTGGAGTTTGGCCGGGCTCTGCTTGTTACTAGTCTCAGAACTGCAGCTCAGATTCAGCTGGAAAGTTCTAAAGAGACAGATTCTAAACTTCATGCTTCCTCTGCTGTGGCATCTTGTAACCAAGCAACTCTTTTAGCTGCCGTAAGATCTGCTTTGGCAGCTGCCAAAGTTTAAGCCAAACTTCTACTTGTGTTGTACATAATGTGATTAGTACATAAGATTTTTGAATATCATTTTTTGTAATTATTGTTAATTGTTTTTATCCTCTCTTGTACGCTATGGTGAAAATATTAAAGACTGACTTACAGACTCCCTGTACTGTGCAGCACCCACAGGATGTGAATATGCCAACAACGTTTTTCTTTTTGCCTCTTCTTCCATCACAAAATGTGGGATGTGGGGCACAACATATGCTACATTAAGGATTCATTTACATATTTACCTTTTTGGCCCAAAGAGGTGAACAGTATATCAATTCAAAGAAGGGTGCAATAAAAGTTCAATAAATGCAGTGACAATCTTCAAAATAATATAAAATAGTAAAAATCACAAGATACCCCATAGTGGTCTACTTACTCCAAATACGATGGTGACCACCCACCGGGGGGGCAGTCACACTCACTCATGCCCTCAGCCCTGGGTCGCCTCTCGCTGCATCCAGGATGCTTCATTGGTCCAAATTATGCCATTTGCAACTATTCTTTAAATGAAGGCTTATCTCACTGCCTTTTAAAATTACACATTTTCACAAAATTGATCTTTATTTTTAGGATTGCTTTTTTGGCAGCTCAAGAAAAAAAAGGGAAATTATATTTAAGTTGATCATGGTTCAATCGCCAGGGTTAAACAGAAAACCTAGCCCTTTATAATTGATAATTTTTAGTCAACGTTATGGGTTTTTCCAAGTGAGTGCTCCAGGCGCTTAGAACAGTTGGCATACTGGAAGAAAATCCAGAGAACCCACTCTCCTGGACTCACATGGCATTTAGTATTCATTTCCTTATCATGCTGTCCAAAAAAATGCAGAGTAAATGTGGGACGCAGGTGGCGCTGTGGGTAAAAGCCTCAGTGCCTAGGGCTTGCCGATCGAAAGGTCGGCGGTTCGAATCCCCGCGGCGGGGTGCGCTCCCGTTGTTCGGTCCCAGCGCCTGCCAACCTAGCAGTTCGAAAGCACTCCCGGGTGCAAGTAGATAAATAGGGACCGCTTACTAGCGGGAAGGTAAACGGCGTTCCGTGTGCTGCGCTGGCTCGCCAGATGCAGCTTGTCACGCTGGCCACGTGACCCGGAAGTGTCTCCGGACAGCGCTGGCCCCCGGCCTCTTGAGTGAGATGGGCGCACAACCCTAGAGTCTGTCAAGACTGGCCCGTACGGGCAGGGGTACCTTTACCTTTACCTTTAACCAAAGATCATTTTGTTTATGCTAAAAGACTGGTAAATAAAGAACAAGGACATTTTGCTAAGAAATCAGCTTTCCATTAAGATGCAAAAATTTTTTGTTACTCTCACAAAGGTAATTCAAAAGCTATGTTTTTAAAAGCTCATACTAAGGAACAGCCCCATATTCTCTTCATATAAACAGACCTACGCGCTCCAGTTGTTGTGCTTAGAATGCCAGCATCTTATCTGCTTTATTGCAGCCCTTCAGTAACTCCCGTTGCCCTCCGTCCCCTCTCCCCCGGAGGGGCAGCTCCATACCTTCACATCTTGGATGGTAAAAACCTCAAGGTCCAGAGCGCAGCCAGCCAGAGAGGCGGCCGCACAGTCCATGCCCCCCCCTCCCCCGGTGTCAGTCTGGAAGGAGCTTCGCAGCCTCGGAGCTGATGCCTCCTAATTGCTCCGGACGCTCCTCCAGGGCTAAAGGCAGCGGCTTTAAAGTGGAGGAAACACAGGTGCAAATTCTCGCCTGAGCTGTTTCTAGCCTCCAACACAACTTCCAGCTATGCAAGCGCCGCTGTTCCATTTCGCATTGCAATTACATCACCACAAGGACTGACACAAGCTACCTCACCCCCAACTCGCACGTTTTATCAACTCCAGGCAGCACACTGAAGCAAACAGAATATGATTATAATAAACCCAGACTAAATCAATGTAGGCAGCACGGGCTGGCAACGGAATCATCATAGTTTGTCTTGGCAAAACATGAACGTCCTCCAAGGCATTTTGCTTTTCTGGATACAGTACTCACTAGAACCCTCAGCCATTGTTAAAAGCCAACATCCCATCTTTTGTCCCAGCCAAAACCTGTGATGCAGCAACGCTGCTACTGATCCCCCTTTGATAGGGTTGTCAGTTGCCACCACTTTCCCTCAACATAATTCCTGTGTCTTTAATAGCTGCATGAAATTCAGCAATCCCCCCCCATGCTTGGAACATATTCATCTCCCTGCAACATAGCAATTAAAGTTGAACCAGAATTAATGGTGGCAGAATAATGGTGCACAGAAGACAAATCTCCATAAGCGTTTGGGAATGCTTTCATGTCCTGATGACCTAATTAAATGGATCCCATGCACAGACCCCACGAGTCCTCCCTAACCCTCTTCCAGGTTCCCTTCCAGGTGGCTAACATGGCTGACCAGGAGAATCTGAAAGAGCCAGTGGTGACAGATGAGAGCTCCTCAGCAATATGGTTGGAAGGTCCTACGATAATGCCAAAAGTTTCTCTGCTATCATGGAGAATAAGAGAGGTGGGCATTGCACTGAATGCTTGTAGAGCAGGGCCATGCCTCAGATCCATTACCCTCTTCTACAAACTTGCCCCCAGGAAGCTGCTACTGCAAAAGACAGGCTCACCTCAGACCAGGCAGGCTCCTGTCACAGGCTGCTCTGGGACTCGGGGCAGAGGAAATCATCAGCTCAGGGAGACAACATGAGCTACTACCTGGATGCCTTCTCGGACGGGCAAGTAGCCCATGTAGCTCTGTAGTCTCAGGTTGAGGCCGGGCACTTGCAACAGGACCAGCCGCTCTGTACAGCTTGCAACAGATACAAAGGACGCCACTCCACTCACTCCTTTTTCTTCCTTACTTCCACTTGGCACACCTGCCCTTCTTTCCCCCCCTGAAGAGTTCCTGAGAGGTGGGCCTTTCCAGGGATGTGGGTCTGCCATCTTTACTCTGCTTCTGTGTGTTCCAATTGAGCGTTTTCTTCTCCCCTCCTCGCCTGAGCCTGCACTGGACGTGGCAATGTAGTGGCAGCGTATCTCTGATCCTGGTGTTATAGAAGTATAGGATTGCTCTGTATGTTATGGCCAAATCCAGTACTTTCTAGGCTAGAAAACATTAATTTTCACAGCAAATAAACAGCAGTGTTTATATCCAGTCATGTACTTCCATCATAAATTTTACTGAATTGATGACTGAGCCTTTTCATAGCCTGTCTCTAGTCTTGAAAAACAACAACAACCCAGCTCCTCTAGAAATACTAGGAATTTAATTATTAGGTTTTAGGATTTACACAGGAATATAGGATATTTCATACAAACACACACACACACACACACATGCTGCAGGCTTTGTCTTTTGAAAGCAAGACTCATTTGACTTGCAAAGTCCATCATTCTACACCTTAGTTGCCCTTGAATTTGGTAATAGAATGAATGGTAAACGTTCAGCTTTCTTATAGCACAGAAATGTCTGTCAGAATGTGCCTGGTTGTCCTCAAAGCCTTTTGACCAATGGGATTAAAAATAAAATGCAAACTGAGAAGTAGCTCAGGGAGATGGGTTCAATTGTTCTCTTTCATGCTCCGCAATGCTGATGTTGCACTTAGGAGCACAAAGATTTTGGTTCAGCAGCATCAGCAAAATGAATCTGACACTATAAAACTGAAGTGTAGATTCCTGTTTCTTTTGCTTAGGCTACAGCACAGACACCATGGAGCACACATCATTACTGAACTGCCCTTCAATTGGAGCCTGAAAAAGAACTGAAAAACCAAAAAGCATTTCAAACTTTAAGTAAAACACACACAATAAAAAAAGAAATTATGACATGTTTTCCTATGACATTGCAACCTCTGTTGCAATTTTACTTAGGAATCCAGCTCTCATATGTTTTATCGTATTCCATCTTTCTGCCAATCATTCAAGTACCAAAATAATTTCCCTATCAATATACAGAAATGTTCATTTTCCTGTAAAAATTCTTAAACAGTAACCAAAGCAATACTAGATTCAGGTAGATAGCTGTGTTGGTCTGAGAAAGTCGAAATAAATAAAAAATTGTCCAGTTCAGATACTTCTGTTTCAGTGTATCCGAAGAAGTGTGCATGCACACGAAAGCTTATAACCAGTACAAATTTAGTTGGTCTCTAAGGTGCCACTGGAGGGACGCGAGTGGTGCTGTGGGTAAAAGCCTCAGCGCCTAGGGCTTGCCGATCGAAAGGTCGGCGGTTCGAATGCCTGCGGCGGGATGCGCTCCCGCTGCTCGGTCCCAGCGCCTGCCAACCTAGCAGTTCGAAAGCACCCCCGGGTGCAAGTAGATAAATAGGGACCGCTTACCAGCGGGAAGGTAAACGGCGTTCCGTGTGCTGCGCTGGCTCGCCAGATGCAGCTTGTCACGCTGGCCACGTGACCCGGAAGTGTCTCCGGACAGCGCTGGCCCCCAGCCTCTTGAGTGAGATGGGCGCACAACCCTAGAGTCTGTCAAGACTGGCCCGTACGGGCAAGGGTACCTTTACCTTTAAGGTGCCACTGGACAATTTTTTATTCAAAGCAATACTGTTTATGGTCCTGTAAAAATAAGGCTAAACTGTAAAATTCCTGCAGAAGTATTTTATTTTGAGAGAGAACAATAGACTTAACATAAGAAACTGCATACTAAAAGTTGTGACATCCAGCTTTGTTAAATCAGCATTTAAACACTCTTTTATATCAGCAGTGATCGTCGTAATGTTCTGACTTAATCACAGTTCCCTTGTTAGTATTCCAACAAACTGCCTCTGGCTTTACATACTTTGCCTTAGTGCTGTGTTGTGGTTAAGAAACAGCCCTGCCTGTTTCAATTTTGTTTATTAATTCACTACTGTACATGAATGTGCTCACATGAAATCCTTTCCCAGATCCATAAACCCTGGAGGTTCTTTCACTAAACTGCTGCTGGACACTTTTAATGTTCAATACCTTTGGTTCCCCTCCCTTCGGTGGCTCTGCAGAAAAACACAATGCCTTACTAGACTGGCAACATGAAAACAAAGCAGGGGAAACAGGCTGGTGTCATCTCCCATGCAACTGGAGTGTTGGTGGACTGAGCTAGCTTGACAGCTGCTGGGAAAAACAAAACACCAGCACCGCCATTAGCCCGAGCTACTGTAAATTGCTTGTTGTCAGTGCACTGATGGGTCATTGTTTCTTTTGACTTGCATGAAAACAATTTGTGGATCTGTATTTTGTCCCTGAATATGATTTCTCGACCTTCTCTTCTGCTATACAACATGTCCTTGATACTGTACTGCGGTGTTTTGTCAACCCTGCATCCCCATATGCAGTTGGATTACATCCCCAGCCAGCTTATCCAATGCTGAGGGACAAAACCTGGGGAGCACAGCTGAAGATCATTGGTATTAGTATATCCATCCACCACGATTGTAGTTCTTGGGCAACATGTACACACATATTTTTGTACACTTAAGTAGAATACTATTCCAAGATGGCTGAATATGGTTAGTTTCATTGGATCCCATGTAGAAGAGCTTCCCTCTGCCCCCATCCAGCACAAGTGTTATTCCACTTGCTGGCCTACATACTAGAGTATTGTCTGTTCGAAATAGTATTTGAATAGTATGAAGTAATTTATTTTGTTTTTGGAAAAATAAGCTGAAGTCAAGACAATGATGTTGGGTGTAGCCACAATTTGAATCTGATGCAACATTCTTCTTAAATGCTGCTAGATTTTGCAGTGAAGGGGAATCTCTAAAAGGTTGACTCAATAGTTTAATCAGTTGTTTGCTTGGTACTTATTTCTCTAATTGTGTCCATGTGTTTAAATGAAATATATTTGGAAGTTCTGCAAATCATTTTATTATTTTCTTGTCCATTTCTTTAGCTATGTCATCCCCATTTATATCTGTCAATGCAACTATTCTTCAGCTTTAGGTGATTATTCTGTTAAATATTCAAGTACTGGTACCACCAGAACATCCTTGCAGACTTTTTCCTGCATCAAGTCTCAGTTTTCCTTATTTTAATGACTTGTTATATAAAATATTTCAGTCAGCTGTTCCATCAGTAAAATGATTTCCAGATAATCTGGGCATGATAAAATCCAAACTCTGCCTTTAGTTTTCCTGCTCAATGACCAAATCTGGTGGTGTTCCATTTTCAATTTTGAGGAAACTGATGGACTGGTGATTTTTAAGTTTTTCCATGTTCTGGAGATAAAGGTATACTGGTGTGTGTGTGTGTGTGTGTGTGTGTGTGTGTAATCTGTTCTACCTTAATCCATTTCCATACTTGTCATGTTTCACAGCCACAAAGCTGATGTGCAGATATCTGCCAAATTAAACTTCCTTATTTGAAGTAGTTGCATAGGTAGGTCAGATGGTAGACTTTGGGGATGGGGCACCAGCTACCACAGTAATGTTCCAATCTAAAAAGAGAAACATGTTCCTAAATGTTGTGTGTGTTACTTCCACATACTACTTACGTGTTGCTTGTGGCTTTAATGTACCTGCGGTTAAAAAAAATGTAATTGTAAAAAACTAACTGGAATGCTTTCTATCTGGAACATACATGGTTGTGGTGTGTGTGTGTGTGTGTGTGTGTGTGTATTCCTGTCAGATTCTTAGTGGTACAGAGTGGTACTGAGTACTGAGTATGGCTGTGCAGTTTTCTGCAACTTGAGATGCTGCAAAGCAGCAGCATACCCTTGAAAGGGCTTGGAATACTGCTGCCCTCAGCTGCTTGAGAGCTTACTTTGTCGTTCAGCCCTGCATAAGAGGCAAAGGTAAGAGATAGAATCATAGAATCATAGAATCATAGAGTTGGAAGAGACCACAAGGGCCATCGAGTCCAACCCCCTGCCAAGCAGGAAACACCATCAGAGCACTCCTGACATATGGTTGTCAAGCCTCTGCTTAAAGACCTCCAAAGAAGGAGACTCCACCACACTCCTTGGCAGCAAATTCCACTGTCAAACAGCTCTTACTGTCAGGAAGTTCTTCCTAATGTTTAGGTGGAATCTTCTTTCTTGTAGTTTGGATCCATTGCTCCGTGTCCGCTTCTCTGGAGCAGCAGAAAACAACCTTTCTCCCTCCTCTATGTGACATCCCTTTATATATTTGAACATGGCTATCATATCACCCCTTAACCTCCTCTTCTCCAGGCTAAACATGCCCAGCTCCCTTAGCCGTTCCTCATAAGGCATCGTTTCCAGGCCTTTGATCATTTTGGTTGCCCTCCTCTGGACACGTTCCAGTTTGTCAGTGTCCTTCTTGAATTGTGGTGCCCAGAACTGGACACAGTACTCCAGGTGAGGTCTGACCAGAGCAGAATACAGTGGCACTATTACTTCCCTTGATCTAGATGCTATACTCCTATTGATGCAGCCTAGAATTGCATTGGCTTTTTTAGCTGCCGCGTCACACTGTTGGCTCATGTCAAGTTTGTGGTCAACCAAGACTCCTAGATCCTTTTCACATGTACTGCTCTCAAGCCAGGTGTCCCCCATTTTGTATTTGTGCCTCTCATTTTTTTTGCCCAAGTGCAATACTTTACATTTCTCCCTGTTAAAATTCATCTTGTTTGTTTTTGCCCAGTTCTCTAAACTGTCAAGGTCGTTTTGAAGTGTGATCCTGTCCTCTGGGGTGTTTGCCACCCCTCCCAGTTTGGTGTCATCTGCAAATTTGATCAGGATGCCCTTGAGTCCATCATCTAGATGCTCTAGCCTCGGGGGAGGAGAGCACAGCTTCCTGCCAAGTTAGCACAACCTGGCCAGCTCAAGGGAGGCAGACTATCCCATTTGTAAATTGCTGCTCCCTTCTGGGTGGACATTCTGCTGGTCCCTCTCAGCTATGCCAAAATGTGTACATGAAGAGCAATTTCAAGAGAACAAAGTGTCACTTCTACAAAGATGCTTAAGAGTGGGCTGTAAGAAACTTGATTCTTGAAGAAAGAGATCCAGATGGGCAGAATGCCCACAGAGAGTATTCTAGAAATTAGCCTAGAGGGTCTCTCACAAGAGCTCTGTGCAGTGAGTTTCCAAGTACAGTCGTACTTTGCATCCCAAATGCCCTGGAACTTGGACATTTTGGCTCCTGAGTGCTGCAAACCTGGAAGTGATTGTTCCAGTTTGCCAATGTTCTTTTGGAACCCGAATCTCCGACAGGGCTTCGACAGTTTCCGATTGGCTGCAGGAACTTCCTGTAGCCAATCAAAAGCTGTGATTTGGTTTTCAAATGTTTTGAAAGTTGAACGGACTTCCGGAATGGATTCCATTCGACTTCCAAGGTACGACTGTACAATGTGGAAAGATGAAGCTGCATTACAAGAATACCCACTCACCAAGATGGACGCAATCCAGAATTTGGGTGAGTGATGCCGCTACAAGACACAGTGTTCAGGAGAAAACACGGGACAGTTCACTATATGTTTTCATTTAGTTGTGCTAAATTATCATACTCAGTCAGCTCACAGAAGGAGTAGTCTAATTTACCAATGCCCTGCACCTAACAAAGCAAATATTTCCCTTCAAATTTTGGTAGTATTTGACACCCTCTTAATTTTATCAGCGCTCATGCAGCTACAGAACAAGAACTAATCAACCTACAGTATATTTAAAAGGAACTCTGTTTGGCTGAGAGAAATCATTTGCCCTCAGTTAACTCGCTTGGTTGTGGGGGTTTCTAATTAACTGGGTATTTCAATGACGATAAAATGTGTCTACTTAAAAGTTGGCAGTTCTCTGGATAGCCAAGCCCAAAACTGGAAGTATAATTGGCATCCTATAAAAACAATTGAAGTGGATTGAAGTGGATTGTGTGGTATATTTAAACCTCTGATGATCAAAGGTGGTAACAGAGAATGCAGGACACATTGGAATGGAGCCGATCCAGGGGGGGCCGCTAGGGGCGCCTTGGAAGATGGCGGATATTAACATCTATCCAGCCCACACGAGGTAATTAGAGGCTGATTATGGGGAATAAATCAGTCTCCCTTCATCTCTCCAGGGGGGAGAGATGCAGTTTTCATCCGCTGTTGCCATAAATCACCCCCGAGTTCGGAAGAAGGAAGGGGTGAGGCACTGGGTGCACAACCCTCGGCGGGCCTCAGAACTCCTCCGAAGCTGCTTCCAGGTGCGAAACTAGTTGCGTTACTTAAAAGGAAAAAAATTGGTGAAAGATAACGCACATGCTTCAAGAGAGGCAGGAGGTTCTTATCTGCTAACAATTTTACCACTGAAATGAAGAAGACTGAGACGGAAGATTACATCAAAGTACTACAGACATGGTATATGGAATGGAATGCGACGGAACTGAAAGGGGGGGAAATGACTTTTTTTTTTTTTTGCTCTATGTGATTAACTAATAACCCTCCCTCTTAGAAGATCCGTCACAGCAACTAATTGCAAATGGGACTAAATATGAATTGTGGGGGAATAATTTGAACTTAAAGGTTTTACTCTGTGAAGAATTTGGAAAGAAGAAGGGCTCTCTTGTGACGCAGTAAGAATGGAGATTTGATACGAGACCTGTGTTGCAGAGGTTTGGTCTTGGGGAGGGCGAGCCGAAGATTTATTACTTACAAGGAGATTGTGATCTGGAAGGGGCAGCCCTCCTGGAAAAAGACTAATTTACGATGCAACAGGTCGGGAAAGTTAAAGAGCGAGCTTTTAGACTGTATTTCATCGGAATAACAAAATGGTGATTGCTTGCTTGAGCGGAAATGCCTGGATTATTGGATGAGAGCGATTTACGAGAGAGCAGTACAAAGCCCACATAGAAACACAAATAAGACTGTTTTTTTCCCAACCCACTTGCGGAGCAACTCGGAGGTGAATGAAAAGGAAAATGAGGAATGACAAGGATTGAGAAGACGGGACTGGAAATATCATTCTTAAGATGAAAGCAGCACAAATATTCGAGGATTGGACTCTTGCCGATTGAGAAGCATGGGTACCCCCCACAAAAAAATTTAATTTGGAAAACATTTGGATTACATGATATGTATTGTTATAATTTGGATTAATTGATTTGATGTGTTTAATTTGGTAATATGAAACTTAATAAAAATTATTTAAAAATAAAAATAAAAAAGGAATGGAGCCAATCCATCCGGCATTGCGGGGTTTGGGCTAGATGCCCCTGGGGTCCCTTCCAATTCTGATTCTCAGTCTGACAGTTAAGGAATCGGGATGGGCACCAATGCTCAGCTTCATATTCTCAGCTTATACTGAATTCGGCATGGTCCCTCAGGCTGCTGTGTCCCCACCAAGTGGAGAAGGCTCTGCAAAAACAGAAAAGAAGTTACAAGCAGACACTTCAGATGATAATACAAGTGATAATATAAGTGTAATTGAAACAATAACTTTACCAACAATTAAGTATATCCCCCCCCAAATGTTCATTATTTTGAGCCAGAATCAGTCTCCAAAGCAGTTTAGAATTAAATTCTGTGGGCAAGTCTCACATAGCCAGTCCTGTCAACAGAGGCCCTGCCAAAGGACTTTTGCTTGTGTGACAGGGCTCCTTCCCCCGCTCCCCAAAATTAAGTGGGGGGGGGTAGTTTGGGAGAATCCCCAGAACAGTGTGTGGGAGGAGAAGGGGGGTTTTCTATCTGGCAAGCCATAATATTTGCACAGATAGAACAACTGGAAGAGAGTGATGTTGAATTCTACTTTATGACAAGATAAAACCTAAGTAAACGAGGTTGTAGATATTGGGCAGAGGAAGAAGGCAGGCTCACATGGTAGGAGGGCTCAGGTTGTAGATATTGGGCAGTTGTAACTGGAAAAGTGTGCTACAAACCATCACCCTTATTCCTTGACTGATGTTGTCTATTTTTTGCACTTTATGAATAATCTGGGTTTTTAAAGTGTTTTTATTCATGCATGCTTTTTTCTCTTTTGCCTGCAATTGATCTTATCATGCCTCATAATGGGACAGAAAAGTGGGATTAAATGTTTTTCATAAATATTCTAACAAGGGACACAGCTAACAATCTAGGATGCTAGTTATTCAAAAGTGGAGCATATACAAGCTTTCACATTTTAAAACAAGGATTACATTTCAGATTATCTAATCATGAACTGTAAGGGAGACGTAGAGATCTAAATAGAGATTATCTATATTTAGTGGAATTTTTATGAACATATACTTTTAAGGATCTTTCAAAAAACTATGGGAATAAAAGTCTGTTATAACATAATAGGGGATGTTAAAACAGTACAGTAACTTCATTGACATCACAAGGTTGCTGCATGTTGGTTCAAATAATAAAAGAGCATGAAAAAATTCCTGTTAGTTCCATGAAGCTAGACCGTCCACTATGATTATAAGCCTGCACCTAGTAAATGTGGAGGTTTCAAGATAATTTACTGTAGCATGGACTAATTGGATGCAGGCCTGTAGCCTATGGCTGCAACCCAGAACTCAGGTAAGCATATTTAACTTCCATTTAAAGTAACTAGGGTGCCAGCTTCAACTTAATATTCCACTGACAAATACCTATGGAGGAATATATGTGAAAAATTATTACATTCAAATTCCTAATCCATAAGAATCTTGCAGAAAAGATACACAACAGACAATACAGAGAATGGTGATATAACAGCAGAATGCAAAGTTACAGAAAAATATATCACCAAGACCAATAAGGAGTACAGACAAGCAGACAACAGAGACATAGTCTTTTACTTTACAATATCTCATGTATTTGATAGAAGTAACATCAACTTGTAAATCAACACCCAGACAATGTTCCAGTAAACTCAGAGTTTCTTCCCGCCATTTTGCAATTAGACTAATAATATTGTCATTTTGTTGTATCTTTATAGATTTGTCCAGTTTTCTAAGCTATTGCTTGTTTACTACTAAGACTTCACTGTGCAGCTAATATATGATGTATGTATTCTCACTGAAATGTAACCATTTCAGCCGGAAATAGATGTTGACTATATATCTTGTTTTATCTTATCAGCTTGATAATCGATTAAGCTGAGTCCTTATTGTGGAGCATTTGTCCCAAGTGATATGTTTTTCTGTGACTTTGGAAAGATACACAAGCAACAGACTGAAATCAAAAATCTGTATTGGTTGACATCTGTTGCAATGTTTTTCATGTCTGTTCCTCCACAGATACTCTCCACTTAAAAAAACTGCTGCATAAGAAAAGGCACTACATGGTGAACTTTTATCTAGTTAGAAAAGTTACAAAAGCTTAACAGAGGAGATGAAAGATAATTAAAGTTACATACTATGAACTTTAATTTTCATTATGAATATGTTACCTCCTTTGGTAGTGGATCCAAAAGATGGCATTCATATTTGCAAAGCAACATAGCTACTAGAATTTGAATCTCCATGATAGCAAACCATCTAAAATGCAAACAGTACAAGTAGATAAAAACTGACTTGATCTCAGGAAACATCATCTAAAATTCTGTTACAATGCTTCATTCTTTGTTAATTTTTTTTACACCACCCTTCATCCAAAGATCACAGGGCAGTTTACAACATAAAAACACAAAATGCATAACATAACAATAATAAAAAATACCCCTCCCCAATTTTTAAAGAGGCATATAGCAAAGAAACAACTTTCCAAAATATACAGTAGACTTGATTTATCTTAAAGCAGATGTTTTCAGCCACTTGTGTGCAGATAACCATTTGCACAATGCCCCCTTTGGTTGCACAATGTGGGAGGGGGGTAGTCTGTGTGGGCTCATTTCATGGGTAAGACAGTTTTGTCAATGATGGGATAGTTTCAAAACCTGAGTAATACAAACATTAGCCCAGTTTGTATTAGGAGTAGTGTGTTTATCTGCTACAAACTCAGTATTCCATGTTGGTGAATCAAGAAGTGGAATGGAAAGTAAAGTTAATGAGACAAAAAATCTTTGAATCAGCAAATAAAACTGGGAAGCTTCTGGCATGGCAGCTGAGAAAACGTCAAAGTCAAAATTTAATTAGTAAAATCAGGATAGGGGAACAGCTGACGGAAGATCCAAAAGAAATAAGAAAAGCCTTTCAAGGATTCTATAAGGAACTTTACAGGAAAAGAAAAAGAAGATATAAGAAAGATAGAAAGATATCTGGAAATTTACAAAGGAAAACAGATATCATTGGAGGAAAGAGAACAATTAAACGCCCCAATAACCAATCAAGAAATCCAAAAGTCAATAAAGAAGATGAAACAAGGTAAAGCCCCAGGACCGGATGGGTTAACCTCTAAGTATTATAAATCACTTGGTGAGCAGCTAGTACCTGTTCTAGGGGAAGTAATGAATGCTATTTACAAGGAAAAGGGAAAATACCAAACTCCTGGAAGGAGGCTTACATAACGTTGATCCCCAAACAAGATACGGACCATCAGAGTGTTAAAAATTTCAGACCGATATCATTGTTAAACAATGACTATAAACTTTTTGCGGACATCTTGGCCAACAGATTGAAGACAATATTAAATGATTTAATTCATAAAGACCAGGGAGACCAGCCATACTGATGTTCATCAATGCTGAAAAAGCATTTGATAATGTATCCTGGTCATTTATGAAGAAGAGTATAGAAAAGATGGGGCTCTGTGGCACCTTTTTAAAAGGAATTGAGGAAATTTACTCAGAGCAGAAAGCAAAATTAATTGTGAACAACACCTTAACAGACTCATTTGACATTACAAAGGGTACCAGACAAGGCTGCCCACTATCTCCGCTGCTTTTTATCAGTGTATTAGAAGTACTAATAAATTGCCTGAGAGGAAGAACAGAGATAAAAGGGGTCAAAATAGGCGCCAAAGAATTCAAACTTAAGGCCTACGCGGATGACTTGGTATTAACCTTAGAAGAACCTCAAGAAAGTGTAAAAATAGCATTGGAAGAAATGGGAAAATTTGGGCAACTGGCAGGATTTAAATTGAATAAGACAAAGACGAAAATGTTAGGCAAAAATTTAGAAAAAAGTGAAGTAGAAAGGTTAGAACAAGAAACTGAAATCAAGGTGGTCAAAAAAGTTAAATATTTGGGAATTTGGATGTCGGCAAAGAACATAAACTTATTCAGTGACAATTACCAACCAGTTTGGAAGGAGATTAAAAGAGATTTAGAAATATGGGACAGACTAAAGCTGTCAATAACTGGAAGAATGTCAGCGATCAAAATGAACTTATTACCGAAAATGGTATTTTTGTTCCAGACAATCCCGATAATAAGAGGTTTAAGACAATTTAAAGAGTGGCAAAAGACTCTCTCGCGTTTTATATGGCAAGGGAGAAGACCAAGGATCAAATTTATTTATTTATTTTTAAAAGATATTTATTAAGGTTTTTAAAGTCCAAGGATCAAATTTAAAATACTGACAGATAAGAAAGAAAGAGGGGGGTTCGCTGTACCTGATCTGAAACTCTATAATGAAGCAGCGTGTTTATGTTGGATAAAGGAGTGGATAACCCAGGAGAACCCAGATTTGTTAGATTTGGAGGAGCACAACAATAGATTTGGATGGCACTCCTATCTTTGGTATGGTAAGGCAAAAGTGCATAAAGGGTTTACAAATCATGTGATAAGGGGTGCTCTATTTGAAGTCTGGGACAGAAACAAGAATTTGTTGGAAAGGAAAACACTGTGGTGGGTGTCACCAATTGATATGTTAACAGTTCAAAAACTGAACATAGAAGGGAGAGGGGCCACCTATGAGGAGATTCTGATGAAGGCCGAAAAAGGTTGGAAATTGAAGCCTTATGATTGTATTGCTGGAAAATTGACAGGATGGTTGCAATACCATCAAGTCAATGATGTTTTTAAAGAGGACAAAAAATTAGGATTTGAAGACAAAAAATCGAAATTTCAAATAGACATTATAGAAAGTAAGTCTAAACAACTTTCAAAAATGTATAATCTCCTATTAGAATGGAATACAAAAGACGAACTTATAAAAGAGGCTATGATAAAATGGGCTATTGATCTAGGACACAACATAGACTATGATGTATGGGCCAAACTCTGGAATGAGAGTATAAAATTCACCGCTTGTTCTGCCTTAAAAGAGAATGTTATGAAGATGGTCTATCGTTGGTATCTTACTCCCACCAAATTGGCAAAAATGTACAGAACTAGTAGTAAAACTTGCTGGAAATGCAAGGAAAAGGATGGCGACTTCTTTCATATGTGGTGGTCATGTAATAAATTAAAAGAGTTCTGGGAATCGATTTATAACGAGTTAAAAAAGATGTTTAAGTATAGCTTTCCCAAAAAGGTAAAGTGACCCCTGACCATTAGGTCCAGTCGTGACCGACTCTGGGGCTGCGGCGCTCATCTTGCTTTATTGGCCGAGGGAGCCGGTGTACTAGAAGTAAAATTCAGTAAGTTTCTTAGGCCTGCTCTTAGGTAAAGGTAAAGGTACCCCTGCCCGTACGGGCCAGGTCTTGACAGACTCTAGGGTTGTGTGCCCATCTCACTTAAGAGGCCGGGGGCCAGCGCTGTCCGGAGACATGTCCGGGTCACGTGGCCAGCATGACATCGCTGCTCTGGCGAGCCAGAGCCGCACACGGAAACGCCGTTTACCTTCCCGCTAGTAAGCGGTCCCTATTTATCTACTTGCACCCGGGGGTGCTTTCGAACTGCTAGGTTAGCAGGCGCTGGGACCGAGCAATGGGAGCGCACCCTGCCACGGGGATTCGAACAGCCGACCTTTCGATCGGCAAGCCCTAGGCGCTGAGGCTTTTACCCACAGCGCCACCCACGTCCCAGGCCTGCTCTTGGATACATTCAAATTTCAAACTTGAAAAAAAATGGTTGCATCTTTTTTGCAATTTAACTTTGCAAGCTTTCCCACAATTTTTAAAAAGATACTGTTACATCATGGAATGTTTGTTATATTCTAATTCTTAGAAGTGAAAGCCATCAACAACAGAATGTTGACACAGTGCACTTTGTGAGAAAATTGGTTTACACCTATACAAATGGATGCAAAAGCTATTGTTTCAGCTAATGTTTAACATTGCATCCTGCAACATCAACAGAATGCATTGTGACCAAATATTGAAATAAGTATACAGTGGTACTTCGGTTTACGAACTTAATCCGTTCTGGAACTCCGTTCTTAAACCGAATCTGTTCTTAAACTGAAGTGCGCTTTCCCTAATGAGGCCTCCCGCCACCGGTACCCTTCCACCGTTCGGATTCCATTCTTAGACCGAGGTAAAGTTCACAAACCGGGACACTACTTCCAGTTTTGTGGAGTTCGTAAACCGAATAGTTCATAGGACTGTTCTTAAACCGAGGTACCACTGTATGGAGCAACTGAAATTAACTTTACACAGCTTCAGAAGGTGGCAAGGAAACTGTAAATTCAGATACCGATAGGTAGCCGTGTTGGTCTGCCATAGTAAAAACAAAAAAAATTCCTTCCAGTAGCACCTTAAAGACCAACTAAGTTAGTTCTTGGTATGAGCTTTCGTGTGCATGCAGGTATCTGAAGAAGTGTGCATGCACACGAAAGCTCATACCAAGAACTAACTTAGTTGGTCTTTAAGGTGCTACTGGAAGGAATTTTTTTTGTTTTGTAAATTCAGAGAAACTGCAAGACATTCCTACATGCCACATTATCCAGCACTGCCTTTACCATTCAACTTTGGAAGACCTCCATCAAGGTCTTCTGTAATAGCTTGTAACAGTAATAAACTTTTCAATCCTTTTTGAAAAAACAAAATCATCTGTGAAGCTTTGTTGTTAAGAGGGAATGAAGTTATAGGAGTAGAGTCACTCTCTAAAGAGTTTAAGAAATAAACTCCAGCTGTTTTACTGACCTTCCTGGACACTGGTGTCCTCCTCCTCCAAATGCCACAAAACCTTCTAAGGAAACATTTTTCTCTAAATTTGCTTCTTTCCAACGATCCTGTGTGATGAAAATTCCCTTTCTCAAAATCAACTTTGTGGTAAATAAGCTTAATAACAAACATGACCTTCTATTTGGCAAAGCATGGAGTAAGAAGCTACTTTTGTGAGTTTATTTTAAACATTCATAAATTCTAGATCCGGAAGAGAGATAGCAGGGAAGCTTAAAGTGCAGCAAGTGCGGCTGCAGATGTTTTGACGCTCAAAAGCTTCTCTTAGAATCCCAAGAATCCTTGTGATAGCAATGTAAACAAGAACTTGGCTCTCATTTGAATAAAAGGTCTACTTTCAATACCCATGGTTGTGGTTATTTTTAAAATAATTCTCCTTTCCCCAATACTTTCCTCAGTACAAACTATTATGGCAGTACAAGCTGTTATGACCTTTAGCCATGCCTAAGGAGAAGCATTCCAGTTCCTCTATGGTAGGCAAGTCCAACCTCAAGGAGGCTGCGACTGGCAGTGATCTACCACCCTCCAAAGTCATTTAAGTTTATTAAATATGAACAAGTACCGTAACTAAACAAGTGAGAAAAGTCAAACTATATTTTTATATTAGTTTGCACAGATCTGAGGAACCAGCTTCTCTCTGTGTGTGTTAACTCTTTCCCTCCCTCCCTCCCTCCCTCCCTGTTCTCCCTCCCCCTGCCTCCCACACACACAGCATCCTCACTCTCTCCCTCCACCTCAGTCTTTCTGCTTCTGGAGCTTTTCATTCAATCATGTTATTGCCCCCACCCCTAAGTTAGTACCCCGCAGGAACACCCTGCCCCCACAAACATCCCAGCCCTCCCTCAGGGCACTGCGTCCCCCTCACACCACCACTGGCGCTCTAACCCCCCCCCAGAGCACAGTGCAGAGCAGGCATTGGGGAAGGAAGGCAAGCCTACTTCCATGGCTGGAGGAGGAGGAGGAGCTGAGGCTTGCATGAGACTGACAGTAGCAGCGGCGGCGGCTGCGTCCCAGGCTGCAGAGAAAGGCTTTTCTTTCTCAGCCTGCGACTGATGAAAATCGGTCAGCGATTCCCAAGTCAATCGTGATCAGTGTGTTGGAAATGCCTGCTCCATGAGAACCATGTCCACACAGAAAGTCAGTGCCTTGTAGTGATTCATGTTGGACTACAACCTGGAAGACCAGTGGTCAAATTCCCAGTCAACCATGAAGCTCCCTGGCTCCCTTGGGTCAGTCACGGTGTGGTGGATGACCCTTGCTCCAAAAAACATGGTCAAAATTAAAGGGTTCAGGAGTTCAGACCAGACCAAATGTCATAAAATCATCCACAGACTTTACTAAAACAAAACCCTATGAAAGAGAGAAACTCCAAATAGCTCAAAAGGTAAGAAAACAACAAACACTAACTTATCCAGCTAATTAACATAAACACACTTAAATCTCAGTAGGCTGAGCAATGGAACAAGATGCTATCAGAAGCCCAGCCTCTGCTTGGCTGGCTGCCAAGAGCTCCCACCAACCCAGGTTTTATGGGGACTTAGACCTCTTCCACCCAATTACCGTATTTTTTGCTCTATAAGACTCACTTTTCCCCTCCTAAAAAGTAAGGGGAATTGTGTGTGCGTCTTATGGAGCGAATGCAGGCTGTGCAGCTATCCCAGAAGCCAGAACAGCAAGAGGGATCGCTGCTTTCGCTGCGCAGCAATCCCTCTTGTTGTCCTGCCTTCTGAGATTCAGAATATTTCCCCCCCTGTTTTCCTCCTCCAAAAACTAGGTGCGTCTTATGGTCTCTTGCGTCTTATAGAGCAAAAAATACAGTACCTTGTGACACCGGTCTTGAAGCCTTAACGGGAAACAGATGTATCTAAGCTCATTATCTCTGAGGTTCTAACTCATTTCCATATAATTTTTAAAGAATCATTTTTTAATTAGTTTTCCAATATACCCCCAATAATAGCCAAATTATAATAATAACAATTAAATCCCAAATTATACAATTATCAAAGTGCCAATCAACTTCCAATTAATACATTTTAGTTAAAGTGGCTCCCCGCATGGTGGTTTGGGTGTATTTCCGATTCTATATCACTGCGTCCCATAAACTTAATTGTCAATTACATTTCAGTTATAATAATCCCATAGTCAACAGCTACATAATTAATGGTTTCCATTTTTGATGTTGTAATATATAAATTTATAAAGCTTCAAGTGAGGAACTCAAACTATTATCTTTATTCTGCCCTGCGTGTGAAAACTGTTATATCCATGGATATTTCTTCTGTCCATATATGGTGTTGTCTCTTTCACTTCTTAGCTGTTGTTTTCTCCCATCATGGCTTTGGACAGAACTGAATCTCCAAGTTTCTCAGAGGTCTTATCTCTCCGTCCCTTACTTCGATGTCTCGGAACAGGCAGCAGTCTGCTAGAAACCATTCTGTCTCACTAGTAAAACATGCCACAGATCTTTGCCATTTCCCCCTCCTTTAATACTCCTTTCCAGCTCCCAGGAGCATTGCCAGGAATTTTGCCTCATAAATCCTGGCTTTCCCCTGCTTTCCCCAGAGGGCAGAGGAGAGCTAGCGCCATGAATCGTGGGTGTGGCCGGAAACCGAGAACCTCTGCTTCTTCACGGCAGCGTGGGAGGGTTTTTGCCAGGAGAAGTACTTTTGCACTCAGTGCCTCCCTGCCTCCCACATTCCATGCTGGAGCGAGAGCCAGGGACTGAGATGAACTGCAAGTGAAGTCCATTCCCCCGTCCCTTGGGGTAATTTGCAAGGAGGATTTGCCCTCTGTCATCCTTGTTTTTTGTTCACCTGCTGTCAGGGGGGCTGCCTCCATTAAGGCAGGCGGGATCGGAAGCCCCTAACCCATTCCCATAAACCAGTCTTAAAGGGGCGATGTCACCACACACAGCCACTCAGCCTAACCTTCCTCACAGGGTTGCTTAAGTTTTTTGGCAAAGGTGGGCTAAAAATGCAACCAGCATCAAATACATACATACATACATACATACATACATACTACACTCCACATCAGCTAGTGAGAAAAGAGAAAAACAAACGGCTCCCATGTTATAACTTACTGGTTTAAAAGTATTGGGCTCAGGAAAATATTTGGGGTTTCTATGAATCCAATATGGAGACAAGGCCAGCAGGTCACCAGCAGGGATAACAAAATTCTAAAAGCAGAAGAACATGCTCTTAATAATAATAACAATAATAACAATCATAACAACAATATATTTATTTATACTCCACCCATCTGGCTGGGTTTCCCCAGCTACTCTAGGCAGCTTCCAACAAAATATTAAAAATACAATAAAACATCAAACATTAAAAACTTCCCTAAACAGTGCTGCCTAATGCATACTTCAAACTCTCTTCCAACAAAGCCAGTCATTTATAAACATATTTATTTCACAAGAACACAGCAGATAATCCTGTCTATATGAGGTCACTAATAAAGGGATGCACTTAGGTAATAATTGATTGTTAGCCAGACCCTAAACACGAAGATGTACTGTACTTGCTAGCTTTTATCTATGATGCCTTCATTGGAGTAGAATCTCACATAAATTTCAGCATCCCTCATTACCTTCAAGACAGTGAAAGAGGCTGGAGAGGGTGTCATTTGTGCTAAATAGATGACTTGACAGGAATTTCTACGTGTATCTGTATGTTTCATACATTCAACAACATATTCATTTTGAAGATTATTGAATGAAGAACTGTGGTACACTATTACCGTCATTAACAAAACCTTACTTGAATTGTCATTGGAGTGATCACTTTCTTGATGATGGCACCTGGTGCCCTTAATCGTATTGTTTCCAAAATACACCACTTGATAAATGGGAACTTTTTTAGGTCATCTTCAGATAACTGGATGTTTTCTTTACCTGCAAAAGTCACATACAAAAGTCCAGTTACTGAAACACTGCAAGCTTTCCCATATCTTTATGTGAATTCACAGTCATGCAAGTGTGGGAACTCTAAATGAGAGCAGTAGAACTCAGGTTAAGTATAATGAGAGAAAGGTGGTGTGACTACGATCAAATTTTGGAGGAGAAGTTACAAATGTTAAACAGTTGAAACAATATTGATTCACTTTCCTCTCTGGCAGCCCTACCATATCAAATGTCTAGCAAACGACCTATAATCTTACTCAACAAGTGGGTTGTAAACTGCAGTAGAGGGTTGGGCCTTGCTTGCTTAGAAAGTGCAAGGCAGTGCTAGGTGGATGCCTTTGGCAGACCAGCACTTAGTTCATTTGGAGCACTTGGTTCATAACAGGCACCCTTCTCCTTTTTCTACCCACTGTGGGTTTCACTCATTTGACATGACAAGGATTCAGGCATTTCAACTTGCAATAAATTAATTAATAAATTTGTGAGTTCCCCAAAATACAATGAGTTCATGACAAGAGTTTTTATCTTATCTCCTTGGCAGCTTCCCTCATGCTTGGCAGGAAAATCCCATTGTTCAAGATAGCAGAACAAGTCATTGGCCTATAGTGTTAGAAAGTACCGTATTTTTCTGTGTATAAGACTAGGGTTTTTTTTACCAAAAAAATAAGGTTTAAAATTGGAGCATGTCTTATACACAGGTAGTGCTGAGGGGTGTTTTCTTAATTTGGAGTCCCCCAAAATAGGGGGCGCCTTATACATGGGGGCATCTTATTCATGAAAAAATATGGTATATTCTTCACAGATGCTACTGTATACCACTCCCTACACTCTTCAGTCTAGAAGATATAATTTCTGGCACCTGTTACTTCTTGTAGCAGTAGGGACCTTTTATGTCTTAGTTTAGAGTTATGAATAGATTACAATATTCATAATTAATGCTGCCACGCACCCAAATAATTTTGTTTCTCTCTCTTTTCTTGCAATAAAAGAAAGCTTTGCTTTAGTCAGGTCTGGACCTACATTCTTGGGTTACACACAAACTATTCAGACCCATTCAAGGACAGTGCCTGGTTCATCTCTACCAAAAGTTCCCCCTCCTCTCAAGGTGTGTTTAAAGGGATACTTGGGTGACAGGTTCATACACAAGGTTTTCCAATAGACATGTATGTTTAATAATAGGCAGGATTTGACACTTCTTCACAAGCGTATTCTTCTGGCCAATTCCCATGTGATTTAAAAACAAACAAACTAAGATATGTGCATAGATTAATCCCAGTTGGAACATAAGTGTAGTTATACAAATGTCTACTTCAATATCAAGAAGTACCTGGGGCATATGTCTCAACACTAAAACAATAAGCATTTTGTGATCCTCAAATTGCATCCAATACCAATTCACTGCTTACTGCTATGTCTAAATTAATTTGGTGAAATCCTTCAGATCAAAGCCTATGATAGATGCACATAGATGCAGATATGCAGACTGTTCCAAACAGTTCCGATGTCATAGTAAGGCATTTAGGCATATTTACCTGATTTTCTATAAACCGGTTCTAGTTCATCCATGACTTTTTTGTAAACAGAAGGTTGAGATAGAATAAATGCTAGTGTCCAGAATGAAACCTAAAGAAAGACCAGAGGAAATGGTCATAGAATGACCTGAGGAAATTACACATTAACCCATAGAATTTGTTGTCACTGTGAGTGCTGACAGCCACTACCTCAGATGTCTTTAAAGTGGGATTGGACAGATTCACATGGAATGGGTTTATCAATGGCTCCTAGTCTAAGTGGCTAACCTGCTATATTCAGAGGTAGCAAGTCTCTGAATATCAGCGGCTATAACCCTCATGTCCTTCTAGTGGGCTTTCAGGAGCATCTCATTGTACACGATGGGACTAGACAGCCAGGACTCCTCTTATTCTCTTCCTAATGATTAAACAGTATGTACATTTGTTTGTTTGTTTTTAAAGTTCTTTTTATTATTATTATTTCCCCCCATTCTTTATGATCACACTTTCATCTAGGGATGTCGAATAACTTACCAAAAAATCATTCAGTTGAAACTCTAACAATAACATGCATCAAAATCCTCCTCCTATTAGTTATACATAACAGTATATACTTTTGTCCCTACTCATTTATCCTTTTTTTTTATTCCCCCTTCCTCCCTCCCCTTTACCCCTCCCTCCAAAACTTGTTCTTTCTTCATATCTTTAACCATGTGCACAGATTATTCATTCTAATTTGAATGCTTGGGTTGGCTTCCCCCCATGCTATCCAGTTCCTATAACTTGTCCTTTTATCCAAAATCTTTTGACATTTGTTTTCCCATGTATCTTCCGTCATTACCTGTTCAAATATATCAGATTGTATATATTCAAAAACATCGTCATTCCATTTTTCCATTGTCGATTTATCATTTTCTTTCCATCCTAATACAATAACAAGCATACCAGCTAAGATCATAATTTTATACCAATCTTGCTCTTTTCTTTCTATTTTACTATTCTCCAGTATTCCTGAGATAAGCATTTCTCTATTGACTTCTATTTTAACCCGAAATACATCAGAAATAACCTATATAATCTTTTGCCAATATTCCTTTACACAAATGCACTCCCATCACATATGTGCATATACCCTAACTCTTGACCACAATGCCAACATCTTTTAACTATATATGCCAGTTGCACCGGGGTTCTATACCATTTCAATAGGAATTTCCTACTTAATTCTTTATATTTATCTTATTCTTTTTATTTTATCTGTACTCTTCATCATCTCTTGGACCATATTCAAATGAAACAGCCCTTCCCGCTCCCATTTATTCTGAATTATCCTTATCATCCTTTCCTTACTTCTTATCATTAATTTATGGGGGATCCAGGGCACAGTCCTTCAATGGCTGCGCTCGTTTCTCTCTGGTCGGGGACAGAGGGTGGCGCTTGGGGGGGAATTGTCATCGCGCCACTCCTTGGTGTGTGGAGTGCCTCAGGGTGCGATTCTCTCCCCGATGCTTTTTAACATCTTTATGCGCCCCCTCGCCCAGCTTGTCCGGAGTTTTGGGCTGGGCTGCCATCAGTATGCCGATGACACCCAACTCTATCTGTTGATGGACGGCCACCCTGACTCGGCCCAAGATACACTGACCAGGTGTCTGGAAGCTGTGGCTGGATGGTTACGTGGGAGCCGGTTGAAGTTAAATCCTTCGAAGACAGAGGTCCTTTGGCTGGGACGGAGCGATATGGGATTGAGGGGGCAACTCCCATCTCTTGCGGGGGTGCAATTAGTGCCAACATCATCCATTAAGAGTTTGGGTGTAATCTTCGATACCTCCCTCTCTATGGAGGCGCAGATTACAGCTATAACAAAGGCGGCATTTTTTCATCTCCGCCAAGCTAAGCAGTTGGCTCCTTATCTCTCTCGCCCTGACCTAGCCACTGTGATCCACGCGACGGTCACCTCCAGACTGGATTATTGTAACTCGCTCTACGTGGGGCTGCCCTTGAGACTGACCCAGAAACTCCAGCGGGTGCAGAATGCCGCGGCGAGACTCATTATGGGGTCTTCGCTGCGAGATCATATCCATCCGGTATTATACCAGTTACACTGGCTCCCAGTGGAGTACAGGATCAGGTTTAAGGTGCTGGTTTTAACCTTTAAAGCCCTATACGGCCTAGGACCCTCGTACCTACGGGACCGCCTCTCCTGGTATGTCCCACAGAGAAATCTACGGTCTGCAAATAAAAACATCCTAAAGATCCCAGGCCACAAAGAGGTTAGGCTGGCCTCAACTAGAGCCAGGGCCTTCTCGGTCGCGGCTCCAATCTGGTGGAACACTCTGTCACAAGAGACTAGGGCCCTGCGGGATCTGACATCCTTCCGCAGGGCCTGCAAGACAGAGCTGTTGCACCAGGCCTTTGGTCAGGGCGCAGCCTGACCCCCTCCTCTGGCAATCGGCAATCTGCACAGAATTTGGCTTGATGGTTGCCATTAATTTGATTTTAATTTGATTTAATTAATTTTATAATGAATGTTTTAGAATGTCGGATTATTTTGATTGTTGTTAGCCGCCCTGAGCCCAGCTTCGGCTGGGGAGGGCAGGATATAAATAAAATTTTTTATTATTATTATTATTATTATTATTATTATTATTATTATTATTATATACCATGCTTGCTATCCCTTTCTCTGTTAATTGTCTTTTGTTAAGTATTTCATCAATTACGGATCCTGACCTCATCATATCCTCTATTTTTTCCGCTTCTATTAATTTATATAGCCCTTGCACTTCCAACCAATATTGTTTTCCTACTTTCTCCAAAATGCTATTTTTTGTCCTTAACTTCCTGTCTTCATCTAACACATCTTTTAATTTATTGAATCCATGTTCTTCTAATTTCTTCCACCATCCAGGATCTGTATCACTCTTATCTATATATTTTAATGGAGCTCACTTTGAATATATAGGCATCCATTTCTTATTCCACTTCTTCCAAATTGCTGCAGCTATTTTCCTAGGTCCTGTCGTCTTCTTACATGCCATCTGTATATCTCTGATAAAGATCCCCTCTCTTCCTATTCCATTATTTATTTCATTCTCCATCCTAACCATTTGATCTTATCATTATAAACAATATCTATTAAATATTTCAACTGGAACACTTCATAATAAAATTCTAAATTTGATATCCCCCATCCCATCAGGGACGCGGGTGGCGCTGTGGGTAAAACCTCAGTGCCTAGGACTTGCCGATCGCATGGTCGGCGGTTCGAATCCCCGCGGCGGGGTGCGCTCCCGTCGTTCGGTCCCAGCGCCTGCCAACCTAGCAGTTCGAAAGCACCCCCGGGTGCAAGTAGATAAATAGGGACCGCTTACCAGCGGGAAGGTAAACGGCGTTCCGTGTGCTGCGCTGGCTCGCCAGATGCAGCTTGTCACGCTGGCCACGTGACCCGGAAGTGTCTGCAGACAGCGCTGGCCCCCGGCCTCTTGAGTGAGATGGGCGCACAACCCTAGAGTCTGTCAAGACTGGCCCGTACGGGCAGGGGTACCTTTACCTTTACTATCCCATCTCCTCCTGAGGGGAGTAGTTTACTATATCTGGTGTTCTGGCAACAGTATGTACGTGATCTAGCCAAATGTAATTTTTATTAGACTCAACTGTTTTTGCTTCAGTATCTGAAACCGGAATGTATGGGACCTAAAATCTGTGGGAGATCCGCAGTCAAACAATGCTCATAAGTATATGAAGGGGTTAAAGACCACAAAGTTCAAATTGCTAGAGTAGACTAACTGATCTCACATCCCTCTGAACAGTCTCATTAGGGAGGTGGTGGACTCTGCTTCCTTGCAGGTTTTTAAGCAGAGATTGGATGGCCATCTGCCATGGATACTTTAGAATCCTGAACTGCAAAGGGTTGGACTAGATGGCCCTTGGGGTACCTTCCAACTCTACAATTCTATGATTCTATGACATGCCTCATCTCAGCTACTTGCTGTTTTTTCTTAAATATTAAATATACTTAATATCTCTTCTTAACAATACACTATCATAAAATTGCATAACTGTGGTTGGATTACATATTTAAAATTTGCTTCTAGTCCCAGAGCTCCTCTTTGGCTGGCTCCCTGTGTACAGCAGGAAGAGAAAGTGACTCTGGGATGCCCCTTCTTTCGAAGGGGCACTCATTTGCTTTTCTACACAAGGAAGGGAAGATCATAGAATCATTGGGGGCGGGGGGAGACTTGACACAGGGCTGCTGTTTTCAATGTGCGTTCAGAATAATGCCTAGCCTCTAAAACCTGTTAAGGCATTATGCGTAATATTCTTAAGGGTTCCGAGATGAAACGTTCATGCGTCATGTTACGATGGGATTCAGAATCTTTTGTTACTGAATCAATCTCTCCTGCAAATTTTGCCTCAGATGAAGGGGAGGAAGAACCCCAAAGGATAGTGCTTCCTTTATTCCCCGCTCTTAAGAATATGTTCTTGACAGCATCCTCAGATACCTATGGATTCTCCTCAAAAACTGCCGCCTAATCCAGAAATCCCACCTTAGTGAGACCCAGAGAAAGAAGTAGCATTACCAGAATGCCTGCCTCACATACAAAAGCAGAGTGCTGTCCCTTGAATTGAGGATGGCAATATCAGGTTCAAGATTTGTGAGGCCCTGTGCACAGCCCATTTTTGTGGGGCGGGGCTGAATGTGCCTTTGCACTGCGGTCACCCCTCCCCAAACAATTTTTGCTGTAAGCCAGGCAGAGGGGGAAGATTATGATAATAATGAGGCCTCTGTATTAGGTGGAAGCTCCTCCTCATGTGCCCAGTCCCTGACACTCTTCTTTCCATCTGGGTCCCATGATAACTGCCCAGGCAAGTCCTTCCCTCCAGAAAGGGAGAGAGGAGTTAAAATCATAACCAACGGGATTTGAAAGTGGGTGGGCCCTTCCAACTCCACCCAGGGCTCTTTGTCTGCAGAGTGAGAAGAAGTTACACCAGTCTCTGCTTGCATCAGACCCCAACTTAGAAGGTTGCTTAATACCTTTCTTTCTATAAGGACAAGAGACTTACTCTTTTAAAAAATGCGACCTCAGAGTCTGGGGCCCCGGTTGCTGGCAT